ATTTTCTTTGTTTTTCTTCTTTTCCCCTTTCTTCCCCCCCACCCCCCCAGCCTGTTTTCAGTCTGTTTTAGCATAGAAAACCAGACACACACATATTTGACAATAAATGATCTTACCTTGGGTAGAAAGTCCTTGTTCAATATACATAACTGAAAAGAAAATGAATCCAATATAAGCTAGAAAGATCCCCATCATTCCAAGATGAAGAAGTCACATCAGGGAAAAAAAAAAAGAAAGCCAAAGGTGTCCTTAGAAAAGAAAGAACTGATATATAAGTGTATATATGTATTTCAAATATCTGAACAGAAAGAAATGTGCAATGTTACAAAAAGGCTCTGTATTGTAGACCTGGCTGCGACACTGGCAGCATTCTGCTGCTCAGTGGAGTCTTTTTCTTTGAGAAGAGCGAGTATTGCAATACAGCGTGGTTCAGATGAGCTGTCTCAGGCGCTGTGTTGCTTGAAGTCCAGATACAGACTAAAAAAAAACACAAACCGTTGAAAAGTGGGTATCAGCTGCCTTCTGTGCCTTTTTTCAGCTACCTGGCAGCTTCGTCCAACGTCAGCTCTTGCTGCTCAGGATGGCGTGATGACTGCCCTCCCTACACACTGATCCAGCTTGGGAAGAGAGGAGTAGGGGAGAGAAAAGGAGGGGGGCGGGGGGGGGGGAAGAGAAGTCTACTGTGCTTGTATTGCCACAACTTTTCCTTCTAATGGCTGCAATAATGCCTTTAACCCTTCCCTCTCCCTCCTCATACTCTACACCTCTACCTGTCTAACTTCTACTGCCTCTGATGCTGGGCTAAATCTGCAGGGTTTTTGGTGGGTTTGCTTTTTTGTTTGTTTCTTTGGGGTTTGGTTGGGGGGGGGTGTTTGAATAGTGTACTGCTTATGACAGAGGGAGCTTTTATTGTACTGATGTAATCTTCAGTCTTTCATCCCAAAACACTCAGTGGCTAAGAGGCAATGCAGTGGTTTGATTTTTGGTGAGTTATGCTGTTTCTGTTTTCTTCTTTTTCTTTCCCTCTTACAGGATCTGAGGGGGAAATAGTAGCTCAGTAATCCTGTCTCACTTGCTATTGCCTGCTCCAAATAACTATGCTTCTAGCATCTTACATTAAAATGACTTCATTTTGTCTTCAAAGGCAGATAAAGAGGATGATACTTAGAGTGTGCTTAGGTTGCTTTATACACATTTCTACAGAAAATATTTAACTAAATAAAAATGGATTTTCATATCTTACAGATTACTGACATTAATGCATATATTTATGTGCACCAGAGAAGGTGTTTACAGTATATTAAAGAATGCTTCCTCCTGCAGTGAATCTTTTCTTCCTTGTTCCTGTTTTCTGCCTATGTATATTAATAATGTTCAGATAAGAGACTAACCTTGACTGTGTTAGGTATTCAAAACACCCTGAAACATATCTGCACTGAGAGAAGTTCTCTGGCTGAAATCGCCCTGCTGCTTGCAGTAAGAAGCCATCTAGAAAGTGCTTGTTGCACTAAGCAATCACCAAATACCTTCTGATGGCTGAGACAGAGATTAAATAGAAACTGAAAACAGCACCTGATAATCACTCAGCCAAATAGCTGAACTTAACTGCTAATCACACTAAAAAAAGCTACAAGATGATACCAAATTAAGAAAATTTTATCTGCCCTGGCAGTATGCTTTTCTGGAACAGGACAGGTTCTGTCATTCTTGGCAATGGAAGTGCAGCAGTTGCACAATGGCACAAAATTCAACTTTCACCTTACTCACTGCACTAGCCAAATTATTGCATGCACACAAAACATCTGACATAGCTGCAGAGATCTCTTTCACAGGATTAATGATATCTGATTGGAGAACAATATTTTTGTCTAAATTTTAGCTTTTCCTTTTTTCTTTTCGTAATTGCACGAGTTCCCGTTTATTTTTTATGAAAATAAGGGAGCCATTTCTCCATGGCACTAGCCTATTCCACTCATGTCATAACTTAAGCTTAGCAATATTTCTGAATAAAAAATTAATACAATAAATCAAATATAATTTAAATTATTAAAATGATCCCCCAAATGGGAAAACAATTGTGTTACATGAAAGATTTCCTATTAGCACAGAGATTTAATTACTTTAAAGGAGGTCATGATGGATATATTCAAAACCTAAGAAAGCCTGTTAAACAAAAGAGAAGCACCAGTCTTTAAAGGTGGTAGACCTAAATTATCTGAAATAGTCAAGGTCTGTCAGTTATTCAATTATTAAATACACACTGTAGAGATCTTTACGGGTTCAGATGGTGAATGTTTCAATAATTTCTATAAAAGAACTCAGTTCCTTTTCAGATGGGTAGCCAAAATCCTAAGTCACTCCTGAAAATGAAGACTGATTATAGGATTCACTTCAAACCCATGTACGTCATCAGTAATCAGTTGAAATTACAAATTAGAGACATATTATCAGCAGCCAAGTTAAATGTAAATTAGACAGGAGGAAAAAGAATCTAAGCAGTATCACCTGGTTTAGAAGGAAAGCAGAAAAAAAACCAGGTCACTTTTTTCTCTTTTATTTGCTTCTTCCAATTCAAGACACTTAATAGGTAAATTTAATTTTAGCAATTTTTTATTTAAAAGGAAGAATAATTCTCCCAAATAACTTGTAGTCAATGAAACCAATAAAATCTTAAATTAATGACATATAAAAAATATATATGGTTAATAAAATATCAGAGCAGAAGATATATTAGGAAATGGATTTAATGGAAAGAATCCTTTAACTTGGTTGCATGTTTATTATGTTTATTTTTTTCATGTGCTGCAACAAGCCATATGATTCTATGAAATAACTTAAAGAGAAAGCAGAAATAATCCACCTCGCATTATCAATGTTAAAATTCATCCTGGTGGGTGTGACTTCTCCACAACCAACCATGCTGTATGAATCTGGGCAGTGAATTTCTCTAGTTACCTTGCATGAAATGTCTGCCTGTTGTGCTGTAGAAAGGCTTTTAATATAGTCTAACTTAAGTGAGAAGTACCAGTTGTGCTTTATAACATGAATCATATGGCTCCTGTGAGCTTCCTGGTGCCTTTTTTCCTCCCTCTCAATGATTCTAACAGATGAGACATTGCAGGACATCCTCCCAGGTCAGAAAAAAAGTGTCCATGCACAGTGGAATTACTTTTCAAACATGCCAATGACATGTAAAAGTGGAAGACCCATTTATGATACCTTGGAGCTGAATTATGTAGATCTCTTCTGTATCTTATTATGACTACAGTGCATGTTCCATATCAAATGCTCCTTCAAAATCATTAATGGCTCTGCATGTTTGCCACTCTGCCTAGCTTAGAGATCCCAGGTCTATGCATCTGTTCTGAGTCTTAAGATAAAAAGTGATTATGGAAGAGGAGATTCCAAGATCAGTGAAGGTTAGAAATGAAAGTTACTGTTTGGCTAATCAGCAACAAGGTTGGATTGTTTTTGTCCCATAAAGACATGGACTGATATGGGCTGCTTTGCCCTGCAGGAAACTGATCAGCTGATGTTTGAGACCATGACTGTGTTGCTATCCAACAAGTCAAACTAAAAATGAAAACAAAAAAGTTATTTTTTAAATTATTTTTGTGTTGACTGCTTGATATTTTCAGCTCTTCGATCATTATTTCAATGATTTCTTTACAGTTTCAAGGCAAATTTTTTATTGTTTGATGAAATTTGTGACAAATAAAAGTTGAAATGGAGGCTGATTCTCCTCACTGGGGATTGCTCTTTGGTTTTGTTAACCCAAGTGCTCATATGAAGCTCTCCCAACATGTCACCGTTGTTTCTTTCCAACAGTATGCAATTATATGTTGGAAGTAGCACCATAACTCAGTAGCAATTATTTTGGTAATAATTTGAAAAACAGTTTTGCAGGGTTGACTATCAAACCTGAGAGTATCAGGACTTCTTACACAATTGCACATTTATGCAGTTAAAGGAGATAAGACATACATAGAATTATTAGCACCCAATCCAATGAGAGCCTTGCCTAGTCTCAGAGAATTGGTGATTTTTAAAGAGAGAAAACCTAAACAAATTTTTGCATCAGTTCTCTGAGTACAACAATTTCTCACATTTGTATATGTGAAATGTCACTGTGGGTTCCCTGAAATTTAATACAATTGGCTGCAATTTCATGATGAAAGCAACATTCTTACCTAACTCATAACAGAGAATAAATGTAGAATCCTTCAAAACAGTAGCATTTGAGACAATTGCCTGTTTGAAGAACACTTGCCAAATGATGCTTTTTGTTACTTCCATGAGACTGCTTGTCCTGATTACTGTTCTGCATAAACCCATGCCATACTCATAAATTGGAGATCCATACTTTGTGAAACTATACATTTGGGTGTATAGCATGTTTCTATGCTAGCTTTGCCTTTCAGGGTTTCAAGTGGTGGTTGTTACCTTTGGGTTTTCTCCACTTATTCAAATGTATAACAACTATCTGTGAAACCAGCAGTGGAAGAAGACAGTATTATAAAAATATTACAAACTAGTTTTATTTTACTTTAAAGATCTTTTATTTTAAATACTCTTACACTCTTCCTCCTCAAATCAGAAGCATGATATTTTATAGAGGTATGATTTGTATTTGGACATTTCACTCTTGTGAAAATTCCTGCACATTTGGCCATTATCAAAAATGTGAATAAAAATGGATTTCATATGCTCAATAGCAGCTCACATCCCTTAGAATCTGTATTTATTCATGGTGCCTAAATTCCTCAGAGCCCTGAATGCTGACTTAGCACATATATGACATTTTCACAGAGTGAACAGACATGCAAAGGATGTAGCTGCACAATCCTCCCTGCCCCCTGCAATTAGTATCTGGAGAAACTGGAGAAAGGTAAATGAAAAGAAAGATTCTACAACAAAAGAAGGCATCAATGAAAGGGTTGAAAGTCATAAAATATTATAATGAAGTTTGTCCATTATATTAATCCATTTCTTTCATTCCAGGCAATTATGATCTACTTCAGGTGAATCCCTCCTATTTTTAACCTGGATTCATACTTCACTTATTAGAAAAAGTTCTGCGTATCTAAGAATGGATTCTTGTTAGGCCTGGAAGGTAAAGGATGCTGTCATATGTGGTACTTATACTTTACATGCATTGGAGGAGCATGAATGTCTTCCTCCCAGAAAAGTTAAGTTCTGCCTAGAAGCAGAGTCTGTCTCTGACCATCAGAGCTCCTGAGGGACTCTCCACAGTCCCTTACATCAGATGTTTCACACAGGGTCAATAACAGTGTGCTCCTCATTTCTGAATGCCCACCTCAGGACCCTGATGGCTCAGATGAAGAAGCACTGAGCAGTCACAGTTGCAATTAAAGTGAAGAGATGCCGTGATTGAAGATGCAGATTATTATAAAATGTGACAAAATCCAACAACTTGGACCCTAGGTAGTTCAGTACTAGCTGTTGTCTATGTGTATCTGCTGCCTGTCTGTAAAGTGGAATATATTACCTTGTCACTTCTGAGAGGTTTTGTTAAGATAAATTAACCTTCAGGAAGCTCTCAGAGCTTTGCATGATGAGCACCATAGGGAAGCCCAGAAGGGAATGAATAATTCTGTCTTCAGCTCAGTGTTTGAGTGGTGTGCTTGGTTGAGGCCTAGGGACACACACTGAAAAATAAAAATAAGCCAAATGTTGAAAACTTGCTGATTAATTTAATTCCATTTATCACATGCCCATAATGAGGTGGGGGGAGGATCTAGAAAAAATCCCTGTGTCATGGTGTATTTAAA